AAACACTAATTGGGTCATCTCTTCACGCAGTGAACTAATTGCAGCATTTTAGTTCTTAATTGTGGAATTGTCAGAGTGCATTTGGAATGCTAATGCAGGAGAGACAGCTGGTGAGAGAGAGAGTGGATGAGTCTTCTGGGACCAAATCCAAATTCACCCATGGCTCCATCTCTCTCTGCCTCTCTGTAGTGGCTGAGCAGTTCAGGTAGAGGAATGGAGAGATGGGAGGAAGGAGGGAGCTTGCACGCTGCTGTGATTATCTCCAGGCTCCAGCCTTTGTCCTCCTCCTCTGTCTCTCTTGCTCTGCCTCCATCAGTCCACACAGCCCACCAAGAGGGAGCTGTGTAATCGCTTAGGCATCATTTAACCCTATTACAGTAAGTCACACACACATTTAAAAAGAGGGGGATCCTCTCACAGTCATTATTAAGGGGTAATAAAATTGGTCATGGTAACGTTCCAAAGGATTGTGCCCCGACCCTCACTCATGCAGACATGCATCTGTGTTTGGTTTAGGATTCTTGAGTAATTTTGTTGTGCTCCGTGGATTTTGAATTTGAGCCAAAATGGAATACCATTTTTCTATTTGACAAAAATATGAACATTATGTGATGCATTTTTACATCCAAATCAGTCTTGAGCCTTCATCAGCTGAACTCTGAATGCATGTCAAACTGATCACTAAGGCACTGATCATAGACCCTGACATATGTTAGCAATATTAAATAAACAGCCATAACACAAATTAACAGTGTTTTTTACTCCATGGTGACTTTAATGTGGAACTCGAAGAAAGGTTGCAAAATCAGGTTTCTCTTCAGACAAGCATGACTGTGCTCTCTGAATATTTTGTCAAACCTGCTGATCATTGGCTTTCTGATCATGATTGATCCATGGTTAATGGTTGGTCACTGCTGTACAGATATAAATGTTAGATTGTCAACAAAATAATTATTAATTACATGAAAGTCTTTGTGTATGTAACTTCCAAGGCTGCATGTAGTTCAACAGACCTTTTCTGATCTCTACATTACACAGCCTGTCATTGTACCCCAGCAGAGCTGTATGAATAATCCCTACAAGGACATCACATACTGAGGACAACACATATTGTTCAACACCACATTGACACAGAGATGTACAGGTTCAACACTGGGCTGCTTTTACATACCAGGATTCTCATTTTCATGTAAACTGACAGAAACAGACTGTGTTTGTGGAGAGTTGAGCTCGTCTGTATGTTATGTGGTGGCAATAATGATTTCTCTCAGCAGGATGTCAACCGTGTAAGAGTTGATGGAGGAGTTTGTCAAATGTGACACCATCTTTCTATCTTGGACACAGTCTGATGAGATGGATTCATCTCTCCACTGCAGCATAGTGTCACCATGAGAGAAACAGTGGCACCAATAATGCTTTTTTCACCTCTGCTGTGAATACCCCCTGAATGAAAGGGATTCCATGAACTTCATTTATTCATTTGATTCAATATCTCAGGCCTCCTTGCATTCCTCTGATCATTACTTTAGTTAGTGAAAGTGATCCTTTTTAATACCAATTTTGTTCCCGTGACCTTCAACTGCTCTCATGCTGAGCCTTTTACCTTTTAAATAGGCTACCATTAGCCACACATCCATTCTTCCATTCTTAACTGCTTAAGTTAATAAAGATCTCCACATACCAGAAATTCAACCAGACTCAAGTGTGAACCCTGACTTCTCATTTCCTGCCTTTAAAACTATTAACAGTGGCTCTACTGACTGAGTTTAGTTATTGCTGTGAAATTTGGGGCAACACTTGTGGATGGTTAAATGATAAGTGACAGTCCCACTAGGATCTTTAAGAGTTTTTGGTGATTATTGTGGCCAGAAATGCACTGGTTTCTGTTAGAATTCATGTTCCTAACCCTTTTGACTTATGTCTTGTGTCTACACTGGACACGAGATGTGAGCCAGAGTGATATTTCCTTCTCAGCTTGTTTAATATGAATGCATTTTAGATGTCTAATGAGGTAGAAGTCAAAGTATCCAGTATTTCAGAGGAATAAAAGCAAACATTTGCTGAAAGTCAGAAAAAAACTAAAACAGAACAACAATTTATCCTTGTTGTTTTGTTATTTTTTTATTCTTTCTGCTTGAAGCATTTGTTGGCCCCTCAAATGACTTAATGATCCTCTGACTTTTCCTCTAGCGCCTTCATCTGCTATTACTAGATGTGAGTGGAGCTGCAGCTCCAAAAGATGGTTGGAAGGCAAAAGGCCTACTGATTCCACACACACAATACATACAGCTGAGCACTACAATTAATAATACAGCTATGGTAAGCACAATGACACACTTTAGATGTATGCATGCAATTAAAATAAGGAAAATGTAAAGGCAGTTGCTGCATAGAACGCCCCAATACTGGTCAGCCATAAACTTATGACCACCTGTGTTTTGACCTTAACTGTCAAAACACAGCATTAACTTTTTCGGCGATTTAAGCTACCATAGCTCGTCTGTTGGATCGGACCCCCACGGGCCAGCCCCACGTACATCAAAAAGCCTCGGCTGTCCATGACCCTATCGCCGGTTCACCGCTTTTCCTTCCTTGGACCACTTTTAAACGTACTGACCACTGTGGACCGGTAACACCCTACAAGAGCTTTTGGAGATGGTCTGACCCAGTTGTCTAGCCATCCTCATGCTGCCCATTTTTCCTGCTTCTAACACATCAACTTTGAGGACAAAATGTTCACTTGCTGCTAATCATATCCAACCCACTGACAGGAGCCATGATAACTAGATAAACAGTAATATTCACTTCACCTGTCAGTGCTTATAATGTTATGGCTGATCGGTGTATGTTAATCCAGCTGCAGCTACTCACTACAAGCATATAATTACAATTTGTGTGTACAGCGCCTCAAGGTTAGTCGAGATTATAAAATAATGTCAGTAAACAAAAAGAAACAGAAAATGTTCAACCAGAAGAAATATTTTATAACTATCCTGGGGGTCGGTAACCCCACTAGGGGTAGCCAGAGCGTCACAGGGGCTCGCAAGGCCTTCTTGATTTTAAGGTGTGTAGGAAAACTTGAAAAATATACACAGTAGTATCTCAGCATTATGTTTTAAGATCTAAACTTTGGAGACCGGAACACAAGCTATATTCACAGAGCCTTCACACACTGAAACAGAAGGAAACACTGAATTTGTTGTTCGGTACTGTTCAAGAAATATCCATAAAATAAGTCACAGATATGTATATAAATTGTTTACTGTTACAGAAACTGTATTTATATTTTTAGAGTTTACGGTCTTTTACTGTCATGGTGTAACAGTTTTTCACCATAAAATCTACAGACATGTTTTACAGTGTATGTTAAATTATACTGCCTGCTCCAGCTCCTACACATAAAAAATAAATATAGCAAATGGCACATTCTTTACATAAGTAAAAGTAAGTATAAGAAAAAGTACCCACTCTGAAATGTACTCAAGTTATAAAAGTAAAAGTTCTCTCTTGGTTTCTGTAAAGGACATTTCTACCAGCTGATTCTATGCAAAGTTAACTGAAAGTTTGAATAGGGTCGAGTCTTGCTCTCTTGTATTTTTCCTCTTGTTACGTCTTTTATGTTGTTTCCGGTGTTACTTCTGTCATGCGTGATTTACACCAGTCTCAATGCTGGGAAGGTGTGCAATCATGCAAAATTAAAATAGAAATCAAAGATTCGCCTCAAATTAATTAAAACTAAAATAACGAGCCTGTTTTGAAAATGTAAGGACTATACAAAGTTAATACTCAAGTACAGTACAGATAACTTAAAAAACTACTGCGGTGGAAATTTGTTTAATAAAGCATACAAAGTATGATCTTGTCTTTCTGTAAGGTTTTATTCAAGTCATCCATGAAT